CTCTACGGGTTCTACAATCCCCAAAAGGACCTCCATTCTCCCCAAAAGGGGCTTAATAATCCCCAAAGGGGACTCAACTTTACCTCAAAGGGGCCCGATTATCCCCAAAAGGGCTCAATAATTGCATTCATGAAAGCGTGGTCGCCGGTGTCACAGCGAATTTGGACCCCCCCTCCCGGTCCAAATTCGTTAGCGGATATGGATTCCCCTGCGCAGATTTGGACCCCCTACCAAACTTTCCTTTTAAGCATTGTTTGTATCATATTTGGTAACTAATTCTGTTCGCAAGCTTTTTGTCGATGTTCTTTTCAATCACAACACAACATTCCTCGAGAAAAACTAGACCCTGTGAGCAGGGTAACTGGGATACCTGGATGGATCCTTGGAATTAGGTGTAGTGATACTACGGGTGTCGGACTAGCATACTGAAATAGTGAGCTCAAGTCTGGCCAAGGGCATACACCTATTTCAAAACATAGGCATGCTATGCATGCAAGATTTATTTTTTGTAGGGTGGGTGGATTACTTGAAACATTGTAAGTAGTCTACATTCTTACAAAAGGAAAGAAGAGTATTAAGAGTTGATGTTGATGTTGATTTTGCCTATTATTTGTACATTGGTAGGCCCAGGTACTATACATATGAAATCAAGGTTTATTTGGCTAAATATTGTTTCGTTTCAAAGAAATTTGAATATAACTGTAAACGGTATTTTTCGTCGTAATAACCTTGAAAATTGCCAACTTTCACGAAGTTATTGAGTCATTTAGTCCATTGTTTTAAGGTGTCTTCACTGATATCCAGTTAATCTAAAGCTATTTCAGTCCACTGATTCCCAAAACAGCTCGCTAACGCTGCTCACAAAAAATATATGATTTTTTAAAGAAGCACACCAACATCCTTCTCGAATTTGGTGCAATGGCTGGTCAAAACAACGTGTCAGAAATGCCCGCGGTACGCAACGAATCACACCAGAAAACCTTTTGGTATTCTTTAAAAGGATAGTTTTAACTATCTACAAGCTTATATGTTTGGGATCTTTCGTACTTTTTTGACAAATACTTCTTAAAGTGAGCACAATTCCGCCTTCCGCCATCTTGGAATGTCTTACATTACCAAAACGGCGAAAGGGAAGTCACTGCTACGGCATCGAACGGTACATATTTTTTCACTTTTATATTGACTAAAGAATCTCCCATAAGCTTTAAGATCAACCAAATTTACCTGTAATCAAGTCCAATGTCAAGAAAAAGCAGTAAGAAACGCACCATACTTCGGCGTGTCTACAATCGTAGTCTGCAAAGACTAAAAGTGACTCTGTGCTGTGACTCGGGCAACGTTTGGACTTTGATGCGCTTCACTGAGTCTCACTTGTGTACCCTTTGCTTGAGCTTTCAATACTCATCCGTTTCAATTTTAGTTTTGATAAGTCTCATTCCATGGGCACTTTTAACTCTCCATCCCGCATCTCGTATAACAATATTCCATTTGTCACGCAATATGTGTGACAAGTGAACCGGAAATGAAATTCTCCTCAAACTCCTTTTCGGCATTTTAAGAAACTTTCCTGACTTAACAAAGTGAATCCTTTTTTTAGAAATGACGAAGAAAATGCATGCCTTTGAAAATCTACTGATTTTCACATATCAATCCTTCGTTAAAAGAAAAAGTTAGGGTAACTAACTTCTTTTTCGTCACCAGAGCTGCTATCAGTTTTTTTGGCTGGTCAAAAACCACGCAATCTGCTAATCTGTACAAAGCCTCTGCTGAAAAACAAAATTGGTTCGCAATTCTTTGCCTTATCTTGTATTTGTTCTTGTTGTTCATTGTTCAGAAGCAAGGAAATTCCGGTTAAACGAGTGGGCATTAAAAGTACAGTCTCTTTATCTGAGCTGTGAACTTATGCATCATTTGCAGCTGCGTACAGTCCCCGCGGGCTGACCTCCGGGGTGGTCCGGGGTGGGCCAATGGCCGACCTCCAGGCAAGGCAAAATTTGCTAATGCCCTACCCCCGGGACCGACAAGGGGGAAAATATCCCACAGTGGCCCGCAGGGGGAGGGGGGGACTAGGTGCAGCTGGAATTGATTGATGCATTAGGGCATTGCATTTTGCCTGACCCGTGTTCCCTGAAAACTTAAGTTATAATCACGTATTATAACAACCTCGTTCCCAGCGTTCTCTCCTACCCGGTAGGAGAGAACCCTGGGAACGAGGTTGGTGTTATAACAGGATACAAGCTTACAATTTCTTAGCCCGATTGTTCTAGTCGATTACACTCGAGCACAAGAGCACTCCTTAACGACCTGAGTAATACGACTTATAAGTGGCTTTTTTCGTTTCTCCGTGATATCATCCACGTTAAGCCAATATCTTCACAAATGTCCCTTAGCACTGCAACTGTTAAGGTAGATAATTTCTTTGTATGAACCAAACTGCAAATGTTACGGGAAAGGGCGACAATGGGGTGACGTAAAGCAATTTCTTCGCTGACAATTTCCCTTAGGTGCGAATGTAAGGCCTCTGCCTCGACTGCACACTGCTCTTCGTCTTCACTTCCACTTTCTTCGTTCGATGTTGCTGACGTTTTTCGAATCCTTGCTGCCAGTCTTGAGAAGAATCCTGCCACCTGCTGTGGCGAAAGAATATACGCTTAATTCCAAAATGGCGGCCACCGCGGATGGTCTGGGCCGAGTTGACACGAAAGCGAGGCATCGAGGGCCAACGCCAAAGACAACAGAAGATGGCGTCTCTTGCAAACACTCTTGTGTTCGGTCCTCCGTTTTTAACTGAAGACGATATTCCGGGAAGTTCATTAAACGGAAGAGATCCGAATCGTTTAAAAAATTCTGAGCTGAAGTTTTGGTTGAAATGTCGCGGGGATAGCTGTAAAGGATTATCGACCAAAGCGCAACTTTGCAAGCGGTAAGATATGTGTTTATGTTGACTTCAAATCATTGCTGTGGTTGCTATGGCCTTGAATCTTACTGGATTCATTCCTTTACAGAGTCAACGACTACCTCCAAGCAAATGTTGCTCATCTCCTTGTGGATCCGGATGAAAACTTTAGGCGTAAACAGAATCGTAACAGAGTCTGTACTGAGGACCAAAGAGCCGAATCCGCCGATTCCGACTTGTCGACTCCGCCGGACCCGGACAACACAAAGAACATCGCTTTTCCTGCGAACGGATGGGGTACATCCCTTGCCAAAGGCCCGATGTTTACTCGTGCAGAATTAGAGAAACATATAAGTGATTCTGGAAAAAAGCATCGACATGGTGAGCATCATTCGCTGCCCACAGGATTACAAAAAGCCAAGCAGTTTCTGGCTGATGAGTATTTGCATGAAATACAAACGCACTCTGATCAGAGGTATTTTTACTTCCGTGCTAAGTGTTTTCATAGTTTCAAGGTCAATGAAGCACCGCACAACTTAAAACTAGCACTCTGTATGGTGACAGGAAATGTGGAGTATGCCTACTGTGGGCCAAGTTGTGCTGCAGGTAAATCTGGTTTTTGCAATCACATTCTGGCTTTAATGATAAAAGTTTGCAAATACACTATTTATAATTGCAAAGATGTGCGAGATTTGAAGGATGAGGAGGATGAAAATCCAACCAGTGCATGCACATCAGCTTTGCAAAATTGGCACAAATCAAGACTAGAAGGTATCCGCTCCCAGCCTGTCATGGATGTGGTTGTTTCAAATCCTGCAAATAATGCTGAACGTGTCAAAAAAACAGGAGTAACTTGTCTTCTGACTGAAGCAAGAAAGGGAGAAAGTGATCAGAAGAGGAAGCTTGAACAATTACTACATTCTCTTGAGCAGCATAGCTCAACGCTTGGCATAACTCAAGTGGTTGATCCCTCGAGTATTGATACATCACCTGTTGTTGACACTCGTTTTGGGCAATGCCCAGTTGGGTCATTTGGATCGTATCAGCTTTCCTTTACTGAATCGAACTTCACATTTGTAACCTTGTTTGATGGATTTGACTGTACAGAACACTGCACAGCAAATGAATTCCCGGCCTACCCTTCGTTCCTATTGGATGATTTCTGCGGATCATTTCAGACCCCTGACAACCTCACTGTTAAAGAAATGGAACTGCTGAAGAGCTTGACTGTTGGTGTTATAGAGGCAAACAAAATGGAAGAGAAAACCAGAGAGCAAGCAAGTTGTGAGGAATGGATGCGAGAAAGAAATTTGAGATTCACTGCCTCTAATTTTGGAAAAATTTCTCGAAGACAGAGGAACCACACCAAATTTGTGGAAGATCTTTTAGCACAGAAGACATTTTCTTCAGCTGCTGTAAAACATGGCAAAAAGTATGAGCCGGTGGCACTGAAGGAATATGAGAAACATATGAGGAAAATGGGAAAACCTGTAAAAGTGTTAAAGAGTGGACTGTTTGTTTCTCCGAAGGTTCCAATTTTAGGATGTTCCCCAGATGCCAAAATCATTGACTTGAGCTGCAAATACAGGTTTGGGCTTGGTGAGGTAAAATGCCCATCGTCGAAATTCCATGTGACTCCCCTCGAGGCTTGTGATGACCCTGGCTTCTTTATGGAAAACAAAAATGGGAAGCCATCTTTAAAAAGAAGCCATGTTTACTACGATCAGGTGCAAGGACTTATGGGCCTATCAGGGGTACCATGGTGTGACTTTATTGTTTACACTAGTAAAGGACTAAGTGTGGAGAGGATCAAGTTTGATCAGGACCACTGGAACAACTTATGTGGAAAACTATGTGACTATTATTTCAAGCACTTTCTTCCAGTTGCTGCTCTGTAAAACATAGCCAAAAAATACAAAGCAGTATGTTACAAATTTTATTGTCTAATGAATACTCATGATCTATTCATATGAAGTTAGTCGTGATCATAAATGTGTAAAGAAATCAAGACTACATTTGACTCAGATAATTGACGAACCCTCTCTAACTTACCGCTAACTCGAAGTAATTTACATTTTCCTTCAGGTCATTTTCTATATGATTTTTACCCTCGATAACTCAAATCATTGCTATTTCCCTGAGGTTTAAGTTTAAGTTTAAGTTCGCAAATAAGAGCTTCCAGATCCTCAGCTGGTTCTTCTACTGTGGTGCTTGCCGAATCTGCTAGTGTTGACGGGGAGGAAGCGCGAGATTCTTGAAATGTCACTAGATCGCACGTGGAACAGTTGTCGACTCGTGCTGGCGCAATTGTCGTCTCCTGTGATTTTGTCGCGGTTTTTTTCAAAATCAGAGTTCTTTTCCTCGGTGATTTTCGCTTGATCGGCGAACCCTGCTTCCAAGGAAACAAAGATGGGACTGCCATGGATTTCAAACTCTTTTTACGGCCTGTGAGTGACGGTAGATAATCTGACGATTTGAAATGTCGCGAGCAAACTCTCGTGTGTTCTGTCACCTTGAAATCTTTACCCTCATCTCTTCGAATGGCAACGATCCACTTCATAAATAAATCTCTATTTTCAGGAAACTTGTGGTAAGAGATCTTAATACCATCTTCTTCGTAAACTTTCTTAGTGCAGCCAGGGACACAGCAATTTTGCGGCATGATGCGCTTTTTCTTTGCCATTAAGTTACATACGTAAACACGAGACTTGGTCCTCGATGCCTCGTTTTCATGCTATTCGATCCAGACTCTCATCGGCCGCCGCCATTTTGGAATTAGGAGTATCCTTTCCACTGAAAATACGAGCAGCCTTTTCGTTCCTCACTCTTCGCATTTCTTGCGATACCTGTTGTGGATCTGCCTTTTTACCACACTCCTCCCCGATGAGAAACTGTTCTGTGAGTAACTTTCTTTGTTCTTCTGTAAAATGGGTTCTACTCCTTGTTGTTTTAAGAGCCCATCCCATCTCAAGTGTGGAGTGTAGTTTATCAACTGAGATTTTTGATGCCGCGTAGAAACCAAAAGTTGGAACTTTCGTTTGCTCTCCAGTTATTCTCGCAGCGTATCCTTTTCTGGCTTTGTCAAACAGTGTTTCTTTTTCTAGCGCGCGCTTGTGCTTTCCTTTGTCTAAATGTGCTTGCAAACTTGAGGACCGCTGGGATGTCTGAATACACCCATCTTCTGGGCAGGTAAAAAGGCCGCTTACTTCCTCTTTCTCTTTTTCTACATCCATGTCTTGTCCTGCTGTCTCTTGCTGGTCAGGACTACTCAGCCGTTGTTCGGACAAAGATTTTTGCTGCACTTCCTTTCTAGGATTGATTTTTCTAAAGCTTGACTGCTGAGAGCGGGTATAAGGAGGCTCCAAAACTTCAAGTGTAGCAGGAAAGATACCATCGGTTTGAATGTCCTTCCATGGTACCAGCTTTCCGGGCCCGATGTTGTAAGCCTTCCATGTTGTGATACCATTTGGACAAAACTGGAAGTTATTAAGCGTACTAATTCCGTCCCATTTGACCACGTTTTTGCGAGCAGATAGTTCGGGAGGCTTCACATACTTCACAATAACGCCAGGAATACCGCCATTTGATTCAATGGCTTCTTTCATCTGTGCAGCGTTGTTCACATCGTGCCCCTCGTTTAAGTACACATTGATATGTCCTTTAATTGTTGCGGCCTGGCGGTCGGCTTCTCCCTTGCCCCCTTGTGGATCTGAAAAGTCGAACCTCTCCACCTTGACATCAGAAAGACTGTTCAACCTGCTTCCTACAACTGTTGACCCACAATGATAACATCCTGCGTTGTCCTGTTTGCAATACACTTTTTGCAGTTGTGGCCGACGCTCCTTTAACATCTCGATAACATCTTGTAAAATGGTGGTTACTGCAACGCTATCCTGAGGGCAACTCTGAAACAGGTGGACAAAAGTGAGCTTCTCAAGCGGGGCATTTGCTTCTGATCTTGTAAAAGCCACTGTGATGTGCCATGGAATACCACGTTTGGCGAACCAGTCACACTGTGATTCACAAAACTTTCGCGGTAAGAATTTCATCGCCCAGTCCATAACTAATAATGCTGAACTCCGAAATATGACATCTAACACGTCATGTTTTGCTTGATCCTGGTTAACTGTTCGGAGTTGGTGAGCTTTCCATGCCAAAATGTCCTTTTCAGCTTGAGCCACTAAACAGATACTGTCATCTCTTTCTTCTTCAGACTGAAGTTCTGCGCACGCTTCTTTTATGGTAGACAGAACCCCGGTTAATTTATTGCATTCGTAGCAGACCTCATCGTGGTTATGGTTACACTTTCCTTGAAAACAGCTATTTTTAGGATCACTTAGGGAAAACGTTAAACAGTGATCGGCAACTTCTGATTCCATTGTAACGTGCACCTAAAATGTGAAAGATTATTATCGTCGTCATCATCATAGTTATCACTATCATCATAATTTTTACTATGATTTTTCGTTATTAATATCAGCTGCTTTAGGGTAGAATCTTTTAAAAGTGGTAAAAGAAGTTTGAAACTTATTAAAGCTTGTCCGAACCGCTTAAAGGGCGCAAAGTGAAGATAGCTTCCGCTTAATCAATGTTTCGAGGTTTAGCCTCAATACTAGTTAGTACAATGCAGCCAGAGAAAGTTTACTTTCATGTTTATGACCAATTCGCTTAAATTTAGCGTCAATCCAACCAAAGTACAAAGTTAATAATCTACTAAAAGAATAACCAAATATTAAGATAGCCTTACCTTGTAATCAGACCGCAGATATTGTTTGGCAGACCGAAGTGTTTGTTTCATTTCCTTGGCCCAGGCTTGTGACTTTGCTTGATCTGCTATCTTGTCTACTATCTCGCTAAGATCTTCTATTGCCTTACTGCCTTGTGCAGAGAAGTTATCCAAGCCCTGCAGAGAGGTGCACACTGACGCAGAGCAAACGTCTAGTACTCGGAGTTGTGTGCGCTTGCTCATCGGAGTGAAATTGGTCTCGGTACAAAACTGAAAATACTGTTGTGTTAACTGTTCTGGTATTAGCATCCGTACGACATTAGGTGTTTTAATCACCTCCCCTGTTGAAAGTTTCAGCATCTTTTCTCCAAATGGCATGTCTTGTACAATATGAGAACTTGTAATAAAGTCGAGAAAATGATCAACTTTGGCGAAATCAACCTTCATACGCCTAGTGATATCAGTAGGTACGATCGCATCTCTACCATGTAACAGTCTATGATGCCGCGCGATGTTAAATCTGTAAGGCGTCACCCCGGGAATGTAATGCGTCAGTTCCTTAAGCGATAGTTTATCTGCCAAGATGGACAAAATTTGTCTTCTCGTGCTCCAGTGAGTTGCGTTTAAATAGCTTTCTGCTGAGGCTTGTATTCTCTCAGATGGTAAGCTTTCACCTAATGTGGTCAATAATTTATCACTTTGTCCTGGAGCAATTACTTCAAGAACCTCTTGAACACTTTGTTTTGCTTTACGGCGGTACCTTCTCTTTGTGCGCTCGTTAGCACTTTCCCATGGAACGGACAACTTATGTCGAACGGGGCTAACATCACGAGAGGCTAAAAAATCGTTTAACTTTTTTAAAGCTTGGCTCCTTTCCAGAAATGGCGCCTTGAGGAGAGATTTCTGCAAGTGGGTCAGTCCGGCTTCATATATTAACAAAACGGAAATTTTAAAGGGAACCAAGGTATTAGCCGAACCATTCCAATAAAACGGGCAAGGCCAAGCTAACTGAACTGACTCACCATTTTAACGACGGCAGAGATATGTTTGATGTGTTATATGACGTCATACGTTATAAACAAATGTTTTACTCCCGCAAGTATTACAAAAGAAGAAGGATTGTATTTACCTGAACCAACTGGAATGAATTCACCAGTGGCTTCCAATATGTACTTCGACTGAGCCAAGCTACAACCCCGCTCGGCATTTTTCTTGGATTCTTCACTGTGTCCAGAGAGTTTGCCTGGAACACTGCATACCCGCTTAGACCTTCGCCACCCAAATACCCAAACTAACACGGTGCAGCGGACAGATAGTCATGTCGTGGATATTTTCTGGCGTTTGGAAACAACCACTGCGGGCTAGAATAAGCTCAATTTCCGTTTCGCAGCCACTGAATTGAAGCTGTTTTTTGTGGCTCGATATATATTCTTTGAGCATGATACCAAGGGTACGATTTTACGCGACGCAGTCTTTGACTTTGGATCAGCCCCGCATTCTCCACCGACCAAAAGTGAGAAGGTACACGCCATCGTTCAATATTGTAAGTCAACGTTTACGTTTAACGATTAACTCGGCGCTATTTTACTTCCTTGAGAAATTTACGGTGAAAATTAGTTTTTTGGAGAGAGACTTGTAGACTGAAACAATGATAACACAATACTGGTTGTAAGTACGCCAAAGTAATTCAATTATCAAGTGCTGCAAACGTAAATATATTTTTGATGCATCTTGTTTATGCCAGTCTCAATCCCAATTTTCATTTTAAGGGACTTGACGCCAGTCCAAATCAAAGTTTTCTCAGTTTTGAAGGGATCTTTAGCCATAGATTTTTTATTGTTTCAGTTTAAATGCCGTGTTGACAACCGCGAAGTCGCGATGTACTATTTACACAGGTGTTCTGTATTTGCATAATGGCTTCGTGCGGTCCAAAAAAAAAAAGGGTTCGTGAAGTCCTTTCCTCTAAAGGAAACGGAATATATAGCGGAGGATTTCAAAGCGGAAATCGCTCATACGTTGTTCGACGTTATGTGAAGTCTAATAACGGTGTCAAAGGTCGGTGCGTGACGTGCAGGAAATCAATGTCACGATATCATGCATGGAGTCTCAATCCTATAAGCCACTGCCAAACTGCCGTTAACTTTAAAAATAACGTAAGGGCAGCGACTTAGTGATATACCAAGCTAAATCTCACTTGCACTTATAATTTTAGACTCAATTAATCCAAAAGTAATACGATTTTTGTACGGTACTTTCTCGCAGTTTCAATATGGCGGTCATCGAAAAATCTTGCAAATTAGCAATCTTTGGGGCAGTCGTATCGAAAAACTAAAAAAGATCCCTAAGAAATGAAAATGAAACATAAAACATCTATCCTTAAACTGTAGAGAAAGCTTAGTCTGAGGATATATTTTGGCGTACCGACCGGATTTTTAGGCAAGTCTTTTATGTCACTTTAGAGCGATTCAGAAAAGGCAACGAACTGCCTTCAACGAAAAGCTCTCTACGAGTCATATAAAATAAATTATCAGTCATTATAGACAATATTTAATTGACCAAGGGACAAGCTATTTATTCATAGTAAGAAATCATTTATAGGCTTTACCCCGCAAACTTGAAAGAGTCACTAATATAGTAAAATTTCGGTTCATCAGAGAGGTCATTTTGGTGCAAAACGGACCCAACTGATTTTATTTAATTACCCTTATGAACGCAAAAATTAGACAAAACTAACCCTATTTTGTTAACCACGATACAATACTCTATCAATGTAAAAAGTATCAGCGAAAACGAATTTTGAGCTGTGTCCGTGATTTTGGGATTATCTCCGATTCTTACTGACATTGACTCTTAACACGGAAAAGAACGAAAATGTCGAATTACCTCACACACAGGTATTTTGTGGTAGATTATATGTGTTGTGCGAATAAATGTAA